GGTTTGACCATGGCACGTGTGTGACCATCTGCGACACCTCTTCTTCAGCCTGGCGGGCTCTGGGATGTGACAATGGCACCTGTGTGACCATCTGTGACACCTCTTCTTCAGCCTGGCGGGCTCTGGGATGTGACAATGGCACCTGTGTGACCATCTGTGACACCTCTTCTTCAGCCTGGAGGGCTCTGGGATGTCACCGTGGAGCCCCTGTGAGGTCCTGTGACATCACGGCTGCTCAGCGGCCTGGAGACAGCCCTGGTGTCCCAAGTGGCATCCTGTGAGCTCGGTGTGCTTTGGCAGCTGGGAGAGCCCTGGTGTGGACCTGATTTTTCTGAGTCTGAGAGAGCTCCAACCTGTCAGTGGCTGATCTTTTCCCAAGGGAAAGTCTCTTGAGAACATCTCTCTTTCACAGACTATTTTTGTAAACAATTTCATTTTCTCTCGAGGACTATTTTTTAGAGAAATTTCATTTACTCTCAACAGTTCTATACAGCTGTGGTTACTGTGTTTTTCTCTTGCCCCACCAATGGGACAGAGAAGTGGTGTTCCCTTTACCAATCACATTAAACCTGTATCGAGAAACCCTAAAAAAAGCTGAAAAGTTTGGAAAATGAAGGTTTTTCCTGAGCATCTTGTTCTGGCTGCTGTGATTGAATCCACACTTCTATTTGGTGTCCAACAGCGACACCATGGAGCCTCTGGGGTTGGCCATGACCTCGGTGCTCTTGAGGAGCACAGAGAGCGCTGAGAGATCATTCCGGAAGGCTGGGGAGTGCCTGAGCCAGAGGGACCCCTCTGTTGTCCCCGTGGGTGCCCATGAGCTCACAAGTCTTTGGAGGATGAGGAGCCCTGGGATTTTAAATGCAAATGTGTTTTAAATGCATACTGTGATGTTGGCTTTTTGCCAGTGTTGAGATGAATGGCGTGTGTGTAATTTTAGAGTGGCTTTTGCTGTGTGAATGTGCATTGGAGTGAAAAAACGCTTGCTCGCGGTGAGAGACTTCTCCTGGGTCAAGCTGTTCAAGTATAAGCAATTTTTTATAAGGGTAAAAAGAGGGGAGACCCGTGTCCGCCACCAGCCTCGGCGTCTACGTGGTCAGGGGGAGGAGGGAGAGCCTGCAGAGCAGGAGAGGAGAGGTTGGGAAAGCGGAGGGAGGGAGCAACAGCAAATGAGGGCAAGAGGGAAAAACCAGAGGGAGAGAGCAGGGAAGACGAGAGGGGTATGGGCAGGGAGAGGGGGCTGAGAGTTAAGAGTGGGGGAGAGGGGTAAAGGAGTAAGAGGTAAGGGAGAGGGGTTCAGAGGTAAGAGAGAAAAGCTAAGAGAGCTAAGAGAGCTAAGAGAGCTAAGAGGTAAGAGAGCGAAGTTCTTGTTACAATCCAATATATCTTTTTCTATAGTGAATATTCTAATTCCCAGTAACCAATCACCATGAGACACACCCACTAAAGAATTTACATACAGCCTATGTGCTTCCCTATATTAACATACACTGTTGCATTTTAGATTCTACAAAACTTTACAAGTTCTTTCCTTGCTTCTTGACCTTTGGATTCTGTCAGCAGAAGGACATTGTTTTATCAACAGGGATTCTCCTTTAGGTGGCTAGGCTATTGTTCTTTGGTTATATAGTAACCAGTACTCTGTATCTTATGACTCAAAGCAGGCTTCCATTTCTACTTTGATTCTAGCCTTCATATTTTCAGAATCTTCTGCCAAACAATCACATTCATAAGGTTTCCCTGTTTCACCCTCCCCAACAAATGTGGTTTTTTTTTCTTTTTCTCCTGCCATTAGCAAGAGTTTAGGAGGTGGGTATGGTGTGTTCTAACTGCCTGAGCAGGCAGGAAAACCCCCAGGGACCGGCTGCTACCGACACTCAGCACCTGTGGGAAAACGAGACAAAGCCCAAATCAAAGGATGATAAGAAAGGAATTAAAACCGCAGAGCCAAGAAACTCCAGTGCTCTGTAGAGGCGGATCCAAGGAGTGGCCATGCAAATGAGTCCCTGGGAAAGTTTGAATATGCATGAATCCATGTGGCAGGAGTGGTATATATATGGTATATGATGGTGTTCCCAGGTCACCAGGGGTGCTCTTGGCAGAGAGCCAAGCACCCCTGGTGTCACTAAAGGATACAAAATGATTCACAGGAACACTCTCAGTGTCAGAACAGAAAAACTGTGCCTTTATTCTCTGACTCCAGTATTTATAGATTCTCGACAAGGACCAGGGATTGGGTAATTAAGTCACCACCTTCCCAATCACACTGGTCATGCGAAACGTCCATCAAAAGGCGTTCCTTAGAAGGAATGTGATAAACAACTTATGTTTGTAGAACTTTCATGGGAAAGTAACAAAAACTGTGAAAACATTATCAGAAGGTTTAATTTTCAGGGTGACACCCAGCCATTTTAAGCCTTTGCTTTATTGTCTTTGTCTCCTATTGTCTTTTTGTTTTTATGAAACCTTTTAAAATTTACCAGAATGGTGAACTTTGTTTTTCACAGATGGCGAGGGGAGGGGAGGGGAGGG